CACAGACATTCGGGCCGCTGAGAAGCCAGTGAATGGCGCTGGGGGCGCTATGTCGTATCGGTTTCTCGGAGACTGCGTCCCAGTCTTGCCGGCATATAGAATGAGCCCGGACGAGCATTGCAGGGTGTCATTGATCGGAGGTAGGATCTGATCGTTGAACCAGTTCATGAACATTGTCTTGTTCTGCATGGCCTCATCCCAGGAGTAGTTGGCAGCCCAAGCCCATCGTGCCAGTGGGGATGGGTTTACGAAAGGTTGACGACCGTCGAATTGTTTGGCATAATCTGCAAAGAATGGCTGAACCACCGCATCGTCTTGGCCCTTCCCAGTCAGAACCGGGTAAGTGATGTTGAAAGTCTCGGTGAAGTTGAGTTTGGCATTAGGATTGGTTTCGCGTGTGTCCCAGCGCTGAGCCACGTTCAAAGTGCTCACGTTGCCACCCACAAACTTAGCCAATGCGGTCGCGAAGTTGTTTAGAAGCAAACCTGCCTCAGTGCTGGAGTTGGGGTACGACACCGTCATGATCTTGGTCGGATACTTCGGCTTCAATTCCGCCAGAGAAGTGTAGTTGGAGCCGTATGTGACAGCTTGAAGTTTATCCCACAGCTTTGGGTCTCGGGCAAGGAAGCCAACAGTATCCAGAGGCTCAGAAAGCGGCATGATGTGATCAGCGCTCACAGCACCATGCGATGCTCTATTGCCAAAGACGCCATTGACGCCTGCAGGGCTACGGATGCTGCCACCCGTATCAGTTCCGACGGCAGCGTCAAGCCAACCATAAGAAGCAACAGAAGCACCTGCGCCTGAGCTCGAAGAGGATGGGTCTTGATAACCATCTCCCCTAGGGTTGAAAGGACTATGATAGTCAACCCAGTCGACAGTAGCAACCTCGCTCGTTGCAAACTGGGACAACTTCTGCGCACCCACCACGATGGCGCCGGCTTCGATGAGCCTCGAGATCGCTGTTCCCGTGATATTGTTGGCTGGGTATAAATGATACCATGCGCGGTTTCCATTTGACTGTTTGACTCCGGCCAGCGAGAAGATGTCCTTAACAGCAATGCGGACACCAGCCAGTGGCTTGGTATCTGAAGCCTTGTAGTATAATCGTGAAGGCACGCCAATGGTGAACGTAGCTGAACCGGGAATCTTTGCTGACAAGACTTGAAAAGTGCCATCATTTTTGTCTAGCAAGGCTTCGGTGAAGGCACCGGCAGTGTCGTCGTAAAGACGGTACGCTTGATGTAGGTCTCCGGTGCCTTTGCGCAGAAAGTAAGGCCCCTTCGGCACGTTGGACCTCGTTGTAAAGCTGACCACTGCCGAAGGTATCTCATTGATAGTTTGAATGTCTTGAGCTATCGATGTGTCCAAGTTATTCGTCTGATTGAGGAGAAGCCGCGTGAATCCGGATTGAAATACGTCGTCAGTCTCCTTCCAAGCGGTGAAAATTTGGGACACATCATCTGCCCGGCTCGCAGCCGGCAGGACCGCGACCGGAACGAAATCCAGAACATCTTCGACATCTTTGGGGACACCAGATTGGAGTGAGAGAGTTGCAGCGATGTGGGGGTTGATGAAGTACGGGATCCCGTTCAAAAGAAGAGTTAGGCCAGTCGATGTGATCTGTGACATGGCTAATGGCAATGCCATCAAAATCCATACTCGGATCATTTGCATTTTCATCGTTACAGCCAACAAATGTGGAAAGCTGATTACACAACTAAGCTCAGAAAGTGATATTGCCAACAGAGAGGCTGATTATTTAACGAAAACCAAGGCCACATTCAATGGCCAAGCGTATGCGATATGCCCGGGGACGGCAATTTGGCTAATCTCGTTCATCTAGTACTTGCTGTAGGTGATCGCCCAAGAACCAGGCTTGCAGCCCCTCCCCCTCTCTTCTGCCATGGAAGTTATCAAAGACGGAGGAGCTCAATGCATTCCATTCTAACGAGGCCCCATAATGAGTCCACATCTTCACCTTGAGAGCTGCAAAAATGTACAGGGATCCGCCAAGAGTGGGTGCAAAATTAATACCTTGCTCTAGTCTCGAAGCACTGCAGAGAACTACATGTATTCTGCACGCAGGATATTACCATGGGACGTATCACCGGGTCTTTCTACGATGCATACGTACCCGGATGGCATAGTCAGGATCTTACTGCACACCGTACTAAAGCCGAGCTTACACGGAGTGCCAGGATCTCGCAGGCACAACTCATTCTTCACCGTAGCTATCTCTGCTAGCCCCTGCAAGGGCATCATCCCTGCTACCTCGCTCTGAAAGTGCGTGATCATTCCAGATGCGCTGAAGGATCGGAGAAAGTGGCGTATGTCGCGCGGTACGCGGCGAATGAATTTCCCCGGTCTATGGCATGTAATGTTGTCTCCTTTACTTTTGTCCAATTCACGTGGGGTAAGCGACGCAGACTCGTACCCCACAAAACTCTTGTCCGCGCATGTTGACACTATCACGTCACATCTTACACCTCACGAACTCCCCCGCACACTCAATGGCGTACATTCAAACTATCATATATATCGTTGGTCTCTTGACGCTCGGTCTTGCCGGCCTCAAAGCAGTGAACTGGATTGCTATCTACACCCATCCTTCGAGGCTCAGCCTTTATGCGCACGTCTCTCCGAACGGCGATGCGCCCTGGGCCCTTGTGACGGGTGCTTCGGACGGCATTGGTCGCGCTTTTGCATCTGAATTGGCGACACAAGGGTTCAATGTCGTACTTCACGGACGGAATCATGCTAAACTTACTGTCGTTGCGTCTGACTTCCGAAAAAGATACCCCGCAAGGTCTTTCCGCATACTGGTGGCAGACGCGAGTGCTGTGCCAGGTGTAAACTACAATGGGGTTGAGCGGCCACTTCAACCCGTCGATTCATCACAGGCTCCTCCGGATTTTGCATCAATACAGGCGGAACTTCGTGATTTGTATCTTACTGTAGTCATCAACAATGCGGGAGGCGGTCCCACCAACCCGGTCTTCTCACCTCTCGTCGACTGCTCAGCGGACAGGATCGCCAGCAACGTCAGCCTCAATGCGCTCTTTCCACTTCATCTTACAAGAGTGCTTCTACCAGTTCTCCGCCAGAATGCGCCGTCACTGGTGATGAACATTAGCTCCATGGCAGACGAAGGATTCCCTCTACTAGCGTCTTATAGCGCCAGCAAGCAGTTCCTCATGACTATGACACGTGCCGTGGGTCTTGAGCTGAAACTTGACGACGAAAGCAGCAACGTGGAGTTGCTAGGTGTCCGGATCGGCCGAGTTACAGATGTTTCGCACTTGAAGGAGGCTCCGTCGCTGTTTACGCCTGATTCTCAGACTATGGCCCGAGCCGCCCTGGCACGAAGCGGTCGTGGGCATGGAATAGTTGTTGGATATTGGGGCCACGCTCTGCAGCAAGCCAGCTCTATCTTCTTACCGAGGTGGGCTAAAGATCAAGTCATGATGGCTATCATGCGTGAGCAAAGAGCTGGAGAGTTGAGGAAACAGTGAAACAAGACATGTATTTCTCATGCAGGCGACACTTGTGGAAGAGCCCTTGTCCATCTGTCTCCAGTCTGTATGGCACGGAATCATAATGATGGCGTGAATCACAAGCGTTTTGGCAGATAGTCTTTTGTTATCAGTGTTGACGACATATCAACCTAGCCTGCCCGCTATATTAATCACGTATCTCAAGTCCCAGATCGCCGCTAGATGTGACCGGTGACACACAAGAATAACCATGTTCTTGGATGCAAGATGGATTGCTAGGGCACAAGCCGTACTCATATTGCCACCCCGCATTTCCCACCAAAACATTATGGAAGTTTGATTAAACTAGCCCAGATCGGCCAAACCGTAGTGACATGCCACAGAGGAATCCTCTTCACGTCTCGGAAGCAACAGCGCTTCTCCTCTTGATTTTTTCAGTCTCTTCCGCCGTGAGCCTATCTTGCATCTCAATTAGGAGCTTGCGGCATTTCTGACGCTGAAATCTCGGTAGATTTGGCCAGCGGCAACTATGATGGATTTCTTGGGCTTCCTGTATCTCAACTTAGTATTTCGCTATAAATACTCCCGCGCGTGCTAACATAGAGCATACTCACATCTGTCCATTTCTGATAAGCACGCATCCACTTCGGTTGCCGCAGCTGCCATTCGCTGCCATTGGAATCACCAGGTACGGGGAGCAACTCAAGCGAGATCATGTCTTCGCATAGCCTGTCGAAATACGTGACGGCGGGTACGGGTCTCGCTGTGCGCCATTGTTCGTCTTCTGGGATCTCCCCCTCCGGTCTTGAGATGTATGCGTCGTGAGCAGTGAGCTCGCCTGCAACGCCAAAAATTTAGATAATGTGACTCTCAAGCCCGGCGAAAAGCTTGTCTTTGACCCACCTATATTGTATCAAGTAACCACCAGGTTCCTGGGGTGTCCCCTCCCAACGGTTTCGACAGTTGCAGTATGCCTGGTGGAATCCTTCCCTCTGGCAACGGCCATAGTCCGGCGAAATTAGCATCTTCGAGTTGATACTGTTCGTTGGACCCAGGAACAGCATTTTATAAATAGTTGATGGTCAGGGTAGACGGAATCACGGGTCTGTAACTAGTAATGTACGGAAGTCGCCGTACTAGGTCAATCGTCACGTCGTTGAAGCCGAGACGTCGCAACTTCTTAAGGGGGATGTTGTCGTCGCTCCAGCCTCCTTCCGGGGGTAGGCAATGTGATCAAGTCTAATCGAGACCATCTTGGCAAGAAGTTCATACTATCGCTTGATGCTTACGATGACAGCATCCCGATCGTATGTCGAATCGGACTCTCGTCCCTGCGATATCAAGGATTCGGTCGACATATTCGCAACCGACTTGTGGTATTCTTGTCGATGTTGATGCCTGGCACAATTCAAGCTGATGGGAGTTGTGAGATAAATACTAAACGTGGATTGACTGTTTGGACATGGCGGCAACGTGCGATTGGCCAGGTGATTTCGAGGGCTTGTTCCCTTTTGCATCCAGATCCCAGTCATTCTGACCAGGATAAGCTCCGCCCAGTTGTGAATACAGGAATGTTAGCTTCTGGCCATTATATAATACAAAGGTATCGAAACTGGTGACATCCCGCCTCTTTTCTTCCTAATAACCTCAGTAATATCTATTTTGTACCCAGAATCACCGCTAGTTGCGATTTGTCCTACAGCAAAACGGATTAATCTGAGACTACTGCCACATCAATGAGAGGATTGGTGACTTACAGAAAAGACCTCCATATAGTTGATACGAGGCGAGGCTAGGGCCTGGGTTGAGGAGCCAATGATAATGTGAACGGCAAACGGCGAGTCGAGGCTCTTCCCATTCACAAACTCCATGTGGACCGACCCAAGCAAGACCAGTTCAGTCTTACTGCTCGTAACTGTGCTCTGTGTTGCCGCAAACCCTTTCGAGATACAGTGCTTTCTTAACGTCACTACAGACCATGCACCTTCTCTGCATTTTGATATCTCTGTTGAGAATAGCACGCATGAGCCTTTAATAAGCATAGAATAAGACGGCCTTCAAAGGATCTAGATCACCGCGGGGAAGCTTCATCTCACCTGCAGCCCCATTGAAAGTCCCGCTAGGACTGATGAAGGTTGCTTCATTCGAGAATACCTCGGTGGCCAGTCGATCTCCTGCGTCCTCATGTTTGGAATCCGCGAGCTCGTAGAAAGCAGCGATGAGGCTTTTGGACTGGGAAGTAATGGAATCAGACAACCAGTTGGTGGCGTTCGTGACGTAGCTCATGGTTTGTCAGGATTTGTTCGAAAAGTAATGTCATGAAAGGGTAGTATGACAATGTCACCAAGTAACTCTCGCAGAGAGGAGTTGTAAAGTAGCAAGTTTCAAAGTAAGCAGATGCTTATTCGTGGATATAGCGTGGTGAGCTGGGGATAAGAGAGAAATACTGTCAGCGTCAGATGACGCACCTCCGGCTCGATAATTCGTCGCGTTCTAGCAAAACGCGAAGACGCGCTTCTCCATTCGCTTTTCCTCGCCTTTTCGTCTCTTCGGGATCGGGCTCGGGTGAGAGTTTTGAAGGAGACTATCAAAGGATTGAGACGTTAGCGTCAACTAAGGTAGTTGATCGTTTGGTGCTATTGCTAACATTCTCATCGAGTGCTTTAGAAACGAGGGGTCGTCAACTTTCTCCCTAGAATTTTCACTTGTTCAAAATAAGTTTCAACCACATTAACTGCGCACCCAAAACCACGATTTTCATCAACCATACAAAGTACTCTAACGTCGAACTTGGAAGAGGATTGGTAAAGACTGAAAAGAAAGCATGTCACAAATTTCCAAGGCCCAGGACTACGATGCTCCAGTTAGCAAGGTCAAAAGCCCATCGGGCCTTGCCCACGTCGTACTACGAACCGGTAACCTCCCCCGCATGGGTGACTTTTACACCACGTTCCTCGGGGGCAGCGTCACCTACGGCAATGAGATGATATCATTCATCACCTACGACGACGAGCACCACCGTATCGCTTTGATCGGGGTTCCAGGAACGGCGACCAAGAACCCGGCGAGCTGCGGCCTTGAGCACATCGCCTTCTCTTTCGATACTCTGGAGGCTCTGCTGCTTGCCTACCGCCACCGTAAGACCCGGGGCATCGAGCCCGTCTGGTGTGTCAACCACGGCCCTACGACTAGCATCTACTACAAGGACCCGGATGGCAACATGCTGGAAACGCAGGTCGATAACTTTGATACGGTCGAGGAGGCCACTGCATTCATGATGAGCGACGCCTTTACCGAGAACCCGATTGGTGTAGACTTTGATGCCGAGAAGATGATTGGGGCCCTGCGCGCTGGGGGGGACGAGAAAGTGTTGAAGAAGCGGCGCGAGATTGGCCCGCGCGGATTGCCGGACTTTTCGAGCATGTAGTATTACCTTGACTTAGCCGGTGAAACTGTTCGTACTTGTGGTAGAGCAGTAGTCAGAATTGTCACAAGCACAGGAGTCTAGCTTTGGGGTTCCTGCAAGACCCTTTGTACACTATCCCAGGCTCGGCTTCGGCCTTGGCGGTGAGCTTATTGGACTGTCGGGTTCAGAACTCCATGGTATTGCATACCCCTAATCCGGGTTCGGCCCCGGGTTCGGCCCCGGGTTCCGAGCCCGAGTGAGTTGAAGTATCGCATATCGGGTTCATTCGGTAAAGTTTTCATTCGCTCAATCTACGAGAAAAACATTTTCGTGGTGGTTCGATTGAGATAACTATGGTTTGTGTTGACTATAGTTCCCAAGAGCGTTTTGTGATGGTGCGTACAATGAACCAGGTAATTAATGCTAGGAAGAGGCGTCACTTGAGGTATTATTATTGCTAGCAGCCATCAAAAAAACTCACCAAAGTCACGATTAACTACTTTATTCCTATGGAATTTTTGACCTGTGAATTAGGGAAGTTAATCAGCGACGTCTCACTTCAGTCATGCTTAACAGAGCTCCCAAAACACCTTTCAAAGCTATGTTGGCTGGATTCCCATGCCCAGTTAAATAATTTTCCTCACATCATCCTATAGAAATAAAAGCCTCATGCCTTCATCTATAATACATCAAAGAATATTCACGAATTGCTCGAACAGAACAAAAGCCTGGGTGATGGAAATGATGGTGATTCCAAGAAGTATACTACCACTGGACTTGGATTGAGTCTTCCATGTTGGGAACCGTAAAACCAGCGAGGTCGGAGTAAATCGTATGGCCATTGTGCGAGATTTCAATCTCTCGAACGTTCGGGACGCCAGACACAGGATGGTCCTCTTCGCTAACGGCCTCCATTTGCGAAGATCCGGCCTGGGGAAGCAAGCTGGTGCCCGTGATATTGGATGCATTGACGTCTTGGGTAGCAGTGGTTGAATTGCGTGCGTAGACACCCGTCACCTCTGCTGGCCTACCCTGCGTAGAGACATCACCCTGCAGGGACATCTCCATAGATGTCATGAGATCCTCATAGCTCGTTGTGCTCTGGATATTTCGGCTATTGCCCTTGTTCTTGTAACTGTCGACAACTCTCCGGGCCTGTCGAACGAATTCTGTTGTCTTTGTAAAGGCAGCTTCGCCGGATGTGACATACTCGAGGCGACCAAAGAATCCAACGACTGTTTCCATGAGGGCTATGTCTCTCTGGTTACGGCTATGATGTGGGTTGGACATCACATGGACGAAGATTGTAGTCAAGGCTGTGAATGGATAGTAGAAGACGAGCCTTCCAACATGTAAGAGGTTAGAACTCGTGAATAATCTGTAAGAGAGTAGCGAAGCGAGTTATCCGTCAGAACTGCGAAAGCAATCGAAGCTGTGTGGGGGTTTATGGATCGTCCAACAACCAGGTTCCGGTAACGACATAGAAGAGTGTGAGACATACCATGCCGGAGTGAAGCTCTCGATATCTAGGTGCTTCGTGAGCAAGACAATGGACCTTGCAGCCTCTATGTGCGATATATGAGACTTTCTATCTATAAGGTGTTCTACATCCCTTTTTCCTTCATTGAACATGGGTGATCCGCGTCGAAAAATGGAGCACAACGCGTAGTAGTAGGATAAATGTAGAACAATGGCTTGTACCCGTGATACCCCCTGTGTCCCGAGGGTTTTACCAAGTGGCTTACCAGGCCGGACCTTGATAGGAATAGATTTCAGCCACCTCTCCAAGTCCTGCAGTAAGTGATTTGATGCTGGCACTAGCCGAGACACTGGCATGAAGAGAGCGCTCGCAGAATATAAGGACCGGGATATGTCACCACCGATACGCGCAAGCTTTGTGAAGTATCGGAAAAAATCGACATTCAACTCTCCTTCGCCTGTCTCTGTGGCGTTGGTTGCTGAGCCCGGATGGGCCAAGTCGATTCCTCGCGGGAAAGGACAGCTGATTTCTTCGTCGCAAATGACCGCAGGTCGTCCACAGCGTAAGGCAATTGATTTGTCCAGACAATAGACTGCCCAGAAGACACGATTACGCTCCTTCTTCTCAACATCAGAGAGACTCCATTCGGGAGACGGGGCGCAGTTGAGCCCAATGCTCTGGGCTAACCGTGAAGCGACCGAGGAGAGAGTATATTCGAGCCTCTGGGGACTGGACAGCCCTTGTGCAAAGACGGCCATCATAGCCACTGCTTGCACAGCTAGTAGGTCGGTAGCGCCGTGAACGATCTGGGACTCGTAGGTTAGGGCTGACCGGAAGTATCCCCACGCCTCAGAAACAGATGTTCGAAAAGCCTCGGAGGTCTCATCGGAGAGTGAGGCTCGAAGCCCCGAAGCCACCACGACGTTTAGCAGTGCCAACCAAGACGGCTTTTCAACAACGTCAGAACCATCTCCTATCTCAGCCAGCTGAGCGTGAAAGGTGTCCCGGTCTAGGATGGGGAAGACGACTTGAACTTGCGCGAAATAGGCATCGACATACTCAAGCAGCTGCGGCCGAGAAATGTCTAGAATTCGATGAGGTGTTGACGGCGCGAGTGGCAAGTCTTGCGCGATGCACTTCGGCTGCCGAATATGGGTGAGGATGGCGTTTCGTATGTCCTGAATTGTCTCACAAAGGATATCCGAGTCGGGCACTTTTTCTCGAATCCAGTTCAGACCGAGGTCGGAAACGGTGGAGATGCCGGAGGAGGGGCCGGTGTATTCGTCGCCTTCGGTGGTTCGGCCCCACAAGGCGGGGCTGGCGTCTTTGAGGTTCTCAAAGTCCTCATCCCCGTCGAGGATTTTATCAAGTAGACTTTCACCTTGGGTAGAGGTGGAGTCGGCTGGAGTTTGGAGGATGACCTCGCTGTCGTGGGCCATCTGAGCAAAGAGGCTAGCCATAGAGTTGGAATCCATGGTTTGCCAGTCAGATGGAGCGGCAGGAGCGGCGATGGCGATGCTCCAGTCCAGACAATCTGATGCGGCGTCATTCTGCGCCGTTCCCTCCGGCATGCGGTGTGTTGAACCGGTAGTAGACCGGAGGCACGGCCCTTGTTCAACATGGCACGCAGCGGCGTCGGCGTCGGGTTGTCTCGGCAATGAACGCTGGCCCAGGTCAATCACACTCGGGCCTTGGTCATTCCGAGAGGTAGAAAGACGTCTGTTGTCGGCGTCGGCCTCCGTCCAGCGACGTACCCGTCGCTCGCCGGCATACGAACAGTGACTGGCTCGTTGTCTGCAATTTTGGCAGACGGGTCGGACGCGGTCGCACTTGATTTTCTTTGCGCGGCATGCTTTGCAAGCCATGGTCCAAACATGAAGCGAAGATAAATAGTATGAATCACGCGAAGATCGCCGGGGTATGTGGAAGGGTGGTTGAGGAGCGAAGAACAACATGAAGAGGATGTTGGTAACCGGTTCAAAGTGGAGCACCGGCAGGCCGGCAGAATCCCCACACGGCGCCAATGCCGCATCCTGCAACTTAAACGCGGGGTGATTGACGGGAACGGAAAGATACATGCTCGTTGGTACAGCTTATCAGTAGCTCGAACCAAGTATTCTCAGCATATTGTGTGATTCCGTTCGATACAACCTCGAGGGAGGCCCTCGTCAAAATTTTCTAGTGTGGATCGATGGAGTAGAATACAAGCATCAGCAGACCCAAATCGTTGTATGTTTTCATGGCCATCACTGGGAGTACCTTACATGTACTTAAAGCATTTAAAGCAGGTAAAATGGCGACAATGAAATTATTCCGAAACAACACTTACACGAAAGGCCCTGAAGTAGGATGACTCGTTCAGGTCCTCGGATGCTATGCCTACTTTTGTCATACACATGAGCCCACTTGGCTCCACAAGGCAGTTCGGGCCCGAGCCAAACTTGTCAACTTTCAATCTCTGAACCTACGCGAGTAGTCCGAGGGTGACGTTTCAAAACAGCCCTAAGACTTGGCCACAAACAATCATGGTCTTTGCTCATATCTAACTACTGTCTGGTCCTTCGCCTACCCATAAGAAGAAAATGTCCAACTCATCGGCCGTCAAGCCCGTCTCCCCAAGCGCTCCCGCACCTACCACGTTACCTTGAGTGAGTTTCTGCTTACCCAATACCGTTCCACATTCTGTAGTAGTTGTATCAGAACTGTCCGCTGTCTCCATGTTCCTTTGGCTTGCCTCCTCATCTTCCTAATTCACCGCAAATCCAGAGTCTGCCTCCTCTACTCCATATTCACTTCCACCTTCTTCTCCCATGCAATGCAAACCTTCGGACGAAACTGCTGCGGCGCCTATCAAAGTCTCCGTAACTATGTGCTCCCAAACTTTTCCATTTTGATGATCATATCTTACTCCCTGGACACCCTGTGCCGGCGTCGTTTCGGACATGCCAAAGCCGCTAAAGCTACGGAGAAAATTCGCGTCATCTGGCAGTCGGCCCTTGCTAAACGCTACATCTATTGTGAATGCAATTCGAAGATACCATCTGGGTTGGAAGTTCAAAGCCTCAATTGAGCCACTCACACCAATTGATCCCGGTCTGCTCCGCTGCAGCATCGACGGCTCGGCGTCCGTCATGACGCCGACCTTCGCTTGCTTAACCACCTGGTTGATCGCGTCGCTCACCCATTCAACCCCTTCATACTGCAACCGGTATACCTCCATGGCGCTCTTGAGGATCTTCAGCCGGTACTTCATGAGTTTAAGACGCTGTGGGTTTTCATTCTCCGCTGCCGCAGACGACATCTCCACGTCCAAGAAATGTAGGAGTAAAAGTAGCGCCGTGCATGAGATGGCCGTAACGGGAAGTCTCTTGATGAGTTGAGAGGCAACTAGCGCTTCCAAGCATCCCACTGTTCCTGTTGCAGCAGTCTGGAGTTCAAGATGCTTCCACGTGTTCTCTGAGGTATCAGACGGGCTGGCAGCCATAGTGATAGCGGCTGTCCGGAGGATCTCGTAGTAACCCAACGTCACTTGCGATGCGCTATCCAAGGTAGCATGTTAGTGAGTGAATGTCTCAACAAACCTTGATCGATTTTTGTCAAACAAGGGCTGATTTCTTACTAGTAGTACATCCAGAGAAGGTTGGCAAAGAGCACTAGCGACCCCTCTTGTTCACTCCTACAGATCTGTGAAGTCTGGCTCTTGTTTAGAAGCCGGATAGTCGCTTCCCGACGCCAACCAACCAAGGCATTCTGGCAATTCTGTATCCGCCTTCTAGTCTCTACGTTGGTCCGGCTGAGCTTCAAACAGTCTTCAATGGGGAACGCCAGATCCAGTATGTCGGTTAAAATGATGCACAACTCCACTAGTAGCCCGAGGATATCTCCCAAAAGAACCTTTGTTTCGAAATCGTACACCAGACTCTGAGTAGCCTCATTTGCAAGATCAAATTGGGAGAGAGGGACGTTGCCGACGATGGTGGACTGTTTAGGCGTTAGCAGCATGGCTCGACGCATCCCCAAGGCGAGAATCCTGTCTCGAATAATACAGCCCCACCACAGCCGCTTTCGGACCGCGTGCTCCTCCGAGTTGACATCGAATTCATGGTACTTGTGTGCTTCGGCGTCTCTGGCGTGATGTATAGCGATGGAGAGCCAGGGGATGTTGGGCATGCGAGAGGCCTCAGATGTAGAGAACGAATACGATGCCAATAGCAGCGCAGCTTGCGACTTTGCCATTGACGAGCATTCAGTATCCAGGTCGAAAAGAAGTTTTGCCCGCCGGTAGAACATCGCACGCGCTCTCCGGGTCGTCCCTAGGCCGAGTTGGGTGAGTGTCGTCTGAGGCAGAAACTTTCGAGACAGCCGAATCAGTAGACGGTTTTGTGATAATGCTTTGCAAACAATTCGTGAAGCGGGGACCAACTTACATTGCAGCAAGAGAAAAGCATACTCTGGAAGAGAAGCAGCGAGACCTTATCACCGCATGGCTGCGACTTGGAACGCTGAGAGTAAATGTCCCAGAATGCCCGCTCGTCGATTATTGGCAATATTGGGTGAACGTACAAGAAATAATCGCGTACAAAATCGTCAAGGATTGTCGGGACTGGGATGTGAAGACACCCTTGCTGTTCAAGAAACCTGTAATCTTGTGGCGGCATAGAAGAGAGGTTGGTCAAGACAAGGAATTGATAGTAGGCATAGCTGTTGTACCACAGCGAGCAAAATTCATTGCCCGGAGACCCATCGATCTCGCTCATCATGCCCTGCCTCTCATCGTAGCTGGCTTGTGGAGTCGTGGACGATGTCATGTTCACGATCCCTGCATCTTCTGACCGACAGCCACCGCAGGCATCAAGATGTTTCGCCGGCATTGCATTGACTTTCGCCTGATCTATTGCAGAAGCTGGAGGAATGCCTTTATCGTTGCCTTGTGTCGAGCTTGGCTGCCTCGGGACTCCAAATAATGAGTTCAAAGGCTCTGGGCTGCCTAATGTTGGATGCATCAAAATAGGGTTGTCGGGCAAGGGCAACTTTTCGGATGTTTCTAAGGATCCTTCAAGTCTTGATCTTTCGTTTTCAAGGCCACCCCTGAGACTCCGAAATAGTACCTTTCCGGAACGGCGTGGTCGGGAGAGACCAAAGTCGCCTTTCCGGGGGTCAAAACCCTTCGCGCGCCAACTTAAAGTACATGAAGTGTCATAATCAGTGGTCTGCTTGGTAGTAATCTCTCCTGGTGTTTGACTTACTGTCGCTTAGTTCGCCTAGACTATATTACTTCGCATTCGTCGCCGTCAAGACGACAATTGGTGCATGGAGGACCACGGACAGTGACATCGCACCTCACTTTGCGAGCCCTACAGACTAGACAAGCGTGGGAAGCTCTTTTGTGGACCTTGGAATCGTCCTGTGGGGCGAACGCCTTGTCGCCAGCTTCCGAAGCCATTGTATCGGTGTAGCCTTATGGACTTTATCGGAGTCAAATCGATTTCAGAGCGGAGATTGATACTCGAAAACTCTAAATGAGCTCTCCAAGTGCCCTTGCACAGTTACCAGGAAGCATCAGAAGTATTGCGGTTGAATATAATGAGTACGGAGGATCCCAAATAAATTTCAAGAAGTTTGGTTGAGATTTCAGATGGCCAGGTTCGGCAATCCTTCGCGCCGAGCGAATAGTAGCAATGGAGAACTGTCCAACGGTAGGGAAATCCTGAACATCGACCGTAGAGAAGATATGTTCCTCCTCAGAATCAAAGTCTCAACAATTTCATCTAGCTCCGGGAGCCTATGAAGTCGCAATCCTGGCCCTTCCATTTTGTCTCTCTCGCATGAAGTCAATATGAAGTTGAATTACCTCGGCTACTCCTAGGCCTTATTCCACCCCGTAGAGCCCGAGGCCGAACCCGACTAGGTGTTCCGGGGAGCCCAACCATGCCCTTTCATTTCTGACATTGTCAAACTCCTCAAGTATTTCTCACACATCATTGATTCGGCATTTACTTCGTTTGAGCAACTGTTGGTGCTCTTGTGGATGTTCGGCTACTTTTATGCTACGCCGTCGGCATCAATGTGCGGGTTTCTCAGCCACATGTTTATCGGCAAAATTGAGACTCTCGGTGATGGCACATATATTCACTTGGAGTTCGCCCAGCTCGATTCACTTGATGTGATTCTTAGTTCGCTGGCCAGGCCTTCCTGGCCTGTCGGTGGCAAAGCTCCCGACATAAGGTACTTGTCAGTCTTCAATATCCCATTCGCTGGCCAGTCAGCCACCTATGCGTGGTTCCAAATCGAGACATGCCGGGTTTCTTTCGTTCTAAAGAATTTCACAACAAGTTGACAGTTATGTGTTTTATGTACAAGACATAGACTAAGGTAGATAGCTTAATCTTCAATGAATTGGTGTGCCAAACCAACATCCAGTATAACGCAACTAGCTCCCTCAATCTGAACTAAAGATTTCTCAGAGAGACTACTTCGGGGTCCTCCGTAGTACGCTCCTTGGTGTTAGGTATCTGCCGCCACTCCATGGCCCAGCTGACTAGCCAAGCAAGGGCCGGGGTAGCAAGGGCAACCCAGAAGACCTTCTTCAAGGCAGAGTTAAACGCATCGATGACAGCTTCTAAGAGCTGTGGAGGGACAATTCTCCTGAACTCCCCTGCACCAACTGCCACAACAGCTGCACCATCGATTCCGTCGATCGCGTTTAGCATTCGCAGGAGTGTATCCGTGAAGAGGTTCTGTCCGATACTGGGAGCTAAAGCACCTCCGAGCATCTGGTAGAACATGATAATCACGAGGCCCGTAGGCACGTCCGTCTTGTCGAGAACTACCTGGACAGCACGTATCGGCATCTGGCTACACATTCCGTACCCAAGCCCGGACGCAATTTGGATCGGGACCCACTGACCGCGCGGGCTTTGAGAGTGTACTAGTTGATAGAGACCGCCTCCTACAGCGAGAATAGGAGCACCGATCCACATCAAAGGGACATAATGCCCAGACTTTGACGAGATCCAGCCCGCGCAGAGTGTGCCGAGACTATTGGACACGATTATTGGTAGTAGGAATATGCCCGAGTCTCTGGCGCTATTGTTCCTGACCGATTGGAAGTAAATGGGCCAGTGGTATGAGTGCAGTACTATGGCCACTTGAACAAGCATCATGAAACAGCACGATGCAACGACTGTCCGACCTCGTAAGATACGGAGGGGAACAGTAGCACTGAAAGTTAATCAGCAAGCGTTCCGAAGGAAAATTCCAGGCTCCTGGGCTAGTAAGAAAGAAGTACCCACGTTTCTTTGCCTCGGGCTTGTAAACCGATGAAGCAGATAAGCAGCAGACCAAATCCGACTAGGCATCCGAATACCTTGGGATTGGACCACGGATGCACAATCCCACCCCACTGCAAAGCGAGATTCAAACACGATGTTGCACCGAGCAGTAGCGTAGCGCCTAGCATATCGAGTTGGCGTATCTTGTCCTTCAACGGAAGATCACCCTTGACGGCGGGGGGAGGATTCCTTAAGCTGAGCCAGATGAGGGCCAGCCCGATGGCACCAAAGGCTGTGGTCAGTCAGTCGCTGGCGATGATCCAAATTGCGGGAGGATACACTTACGAAGTTTGAACCAGAAGATGAAGCGCCAAGAAAGCGTTTTGCTGTCTGTGATGGAACCACCTACCAGCGGCCCTATGGCTGATCCTGTGCTATACAGTCCTAGAATTACCGGTGATAATTTTGCCTGCTTTTTTAACGGGACGCAGTAGGACAGAATTGTTGTAGTTCCGCTCACCAAACCGGCAGCTCCTACACCAGAAACGGCTCTTCCGATAATGAGAGCCATTGAGTTCGGTCCGACGGCCGATATGACGGAGCCGACCTCGAAGATGATGAGCGATACACAGTACACCCATTTGATATTGTAAAAGGCATAGAGGCGACCGCAAGTTGGCAGCATTGCCATCTGCGCGATCAGATAAGATGAACCGTACCAGCCAATGTCGTTGAGACTTTCAAAGTCACTGGTGATTTGTGGTATTGCAGTCGCTGATCGAATGCTTTCGTCAATTGGAAGCTCTGCCGAAACAAAGGTGGATAAGTCTGGGTACCCAGAATGGTATTGTCGAGTGCCAGCACAAAGCAAATAGCCATGAAGGCGATGGTCAGAGAAGCAAGTGCCCATCCTTGCAAGTGCGTGTTCTGTTGCTGCTCTTGATTTGGATCTACTTCATTCTGCTGGTTCTCGGTCTCATCAAGGCGTCTCCCTTGGGGAGGAGAAGGCCCTGCAGCCAGGCTTGCCATGCTCGTCGGTTATGATTGCTGCGAGAGATATTGTCGACACTGACGAGGACAACCTTAAACTTGCGATGAGTGCTGAGTACCGTCTGTTTAAGAGAGGCAGCTTTGTTGGAGCAAACGACTGATGGATACCCGCCTGACTGATTTATGCAATACGAGGTGAGGCCGAGTTGCTCCTCTTGCTTGGCGTTGGCTGGGTGCCTGACTTTAAAAGACATTCATTCGTTCAAGATCCTGATCACACGAATCACCCATTTCCAGTCACTTCTCCTCTGACCGCTTATTCAACGCCCACATGTATGTGAAGGTAGGGATTTCGACGGTCCTCTGACTTTGGGGCGGTTGATAATTGACGTCTCTCGGCTGTGTGGCGGAAGGTTCTCAATCTAACCGTCTGACGCGTCTAGCGGTATTCGACTCTTAAAACGACAAAATTGATATAGGGCTCATCAAAATCAGTGAAATCGGCTGAGCTTTGAGATCATCAAAGCCTACGAGACTTCTGTGCCGGGGGGCGGGGGGGGGGGGGCTTGTCTCAATTTCATGATATACCATAGATTGATCAACAGGAAACAGCGATGCATCCACGTATCGGCCGTGATTATTCGATTAACCAACAAGAGAGTGAGTCGATTCGTATTTAGCCTAAACTAAGTAACCGGATAAACCCTGCAACTCGTTGGTGCACGCTTGTTGCTGCGTGGCTGAGGTTGCAACGAGAACCAACAGCTTCTTCAAATGGCTCCATGGGTTGTCTCTCGATCAGCTTTTTAGGCTCGTTTCCGAAGATAATTGTCATGTTCCTCCCTGACACAATAGCCAAATAGACCCAATTCGTAAATACTTGAAGTCACAGACTACTTTAGATCACACCACAATCAGCGTGGATGATTGAGACTCTATTTTGCCTGGCAAAGCGCGATCTGTCTTGTAAAACTAAGAGTCGAGAAATCTCCAAAGCTTTCAACGTTGGGCATGGCATCAAACCTCGTCATCTTGTGCAAGGATATTCGTTCTAAGATACTTACCTACGTCAAGGGGTGAAGTCCAAGCTGATGGAATTCCGACCATGATGTCGGAGATCCATGGCATATGCCATTTTGTTCATCGCGTAGTCTGTTATGTTGAATAAGTAAATTCTTCTACGCAGTGAATAAGAAAATGTACTGCATCCATTGCTCTTTAGTAGAAGTAATCTAGCATTGTTGCGTCTCAGAACATGTCTGTCGATCAAATGTTATTCAATGGCGGATAGATTCGGTGTCATCACGTGCAAAATCACTTGTAGCCGATTGGAATGAGGTTAGGATTGTGCGAAGGGCAATGGGGAAAGATACTATTGCGCTCGAAGCCCAGCATCATTGGCCCGGCTTACCATACCGTAGCATTCGGGGACGCTCCCGGTCACGCACCAAACGTACTGCGGTTCGGACACACATCCTTGCCCGTCGTACGCATAAGAGATGTTGCAGTAGGTAAGGGCGTGATAAGCGGGTAATTCTTATCAGCTCTTCGCCATCTTAGCATCAAATCAATTCCAGGCTACTGGTGATGTTCCTTGCCGTTGGCGATCATTGCCAGTCATCGGAGGAAATTCAGGCCGACATATGCACTGCCTAAGTTAGTAGGTAGGTAGAAAGTTTTCCTTAAGGTTATCGTCCACAACCAGCAACCTAATTTGATTTCTTCTTGCAACAGTGCGAGCTGGTAAGGGAGAGGAAGGATTCGGAGATTACAAAATCGCAATCCGTTCTCCAGCACTTTCATGTTGCATAGTCTTTGAACTGATGCTCTATCGGCAACTACCTGCCGACATGTCTCCCGTTTCTGTCATTGGGCACAGCCTGGTACCACTTCATTTCGATACCTATCCTTTGGGAACCATAAAGCCTAATGGCTGGTTCCGAGACCAGCTACGTCTTAGTGCAAAAGGTCTTGGAGGCAACTTGTTCTACTCCTATCGTTTCGTCAAAGAAAGCACTTGGCTTGGAGGCACATGGGAGTACACCCCCTTGAACGAAGCAGCCCCATACTGGTATAACTACATTGTTCCTTTGGCATACACGCTTGACGAGGTATCAGATTCGGATCTGTTCATCGAGATCAAGAAACAGGCGGAATTTTTCCTTGAATACACGTTGTCTCACCAAGCTGCAGATGGCTGGCTTGGCCCAGAGACAACGTCCCATACCCGCGGTATCTGGGCGCGTTGCCTCTTGCTTCAAGGCCTCACGAATCATGCCATCGCGGACTCGACAAAGCGGCAGGCCATCATGGACGCGATCTTCCGTTTCATTAGACTAGTACACGCCATGCTCAAGGATAACTATGCTGGGTATATCCCGCGGAAGGACGATGTTTTCGACTTGCAACTCTTTGGAGTTGCCCGTGCCCATGAGCTCGCGCTAACTCTTCAATGGCTCTACGACCAGACCGACGATACCAAAGACCGCAACATTATCTGGGAGGTCATGGAGATGATGTGGCAAGGATCTCGAATAATGGAAAGAGATTGGACCATTTTCTTTGGGAAAGACTTTCCACACGAGCCGTCTGTCAGATATAAGTCTCCCAATTTCAAGCACGGTGTCAATGTTGCGCAAGGTTAGTCTCTACAATGGGTGTACAGGCTAATATTGACGTTGCATACACAGGACTTCGTTATCCAGCTCACTTGTATCGAATGCACCCATCTCCTGAGCTAGCGAACCTGTGCAAAGATGCTGTGCGCAAAACCTTCAAGTATCATGGAACTCCCGCCGGATCAGTCAGTAGTGATGAGTACATTGGTGGCCTCTCTCCTCAACGAGGCTCTGAGCTTTGTTGCTCCGTCGAGCTTATGTTCTCGTTGTCATACCTTTACCAACTCTTTGGGGACAATGACATGGCCGACCGCGTGGAACTAGCAGCATTCAACGCCATTCCAGCTGGAGTCAGTGCGGATTGGTGGAGCCATCAATACATCACTCAGGTTAACCAGCCGTGGGCCTGCGAATTGGAACTTGCCAAAGACGAGAAGACGCCATTTTACGATGTCTGCAGATACGCCAATGTCTTTGGACTAGAGCCAGAATTTGTTAGTGGTCCGTCTAGACATCATGGGTCTTTTTACTAACCGGATATGAAAGCCATGCTGCACTGTCAATCATCCTACTGCATACCCCAAGATGTTGATGAACGCATTTCTCCGAGGTCAGACAAGCAATGGCATGCCTACAATGGCCCATGCCCATCTCATTCCTTCCCGGCTGGACATCGACGGGATAAGCATCAACTGCGAGTCGAATTACCCTTTTGCTCCCTGCGCATTGCATTATTCTATACATGCGCGAGAAGCATTCGAGTTCCTCATCCGAGTGCCACATTGGACATCGAGCTCCTCGACCATAGAGCTATGTGAAAGCGGATCACAGACTCGACGAGTAACACAACCTTTCGGCTCGACTGCCAGAAACGGAGGTCCCGAATCCTTTCACTGTCTACAGATTCCTGGTGGAGCAAGATACGACATTTTTGTGACTCTGAATGCGGAAGTGAGGGTCAAGGAACATGACGACAAGTCCGTCAGCATCTACTATGGCCCCTTGCTGTATGCTTACGAGGTCGACTACAAGATTACCACGAGACTCCCTCGCAACTACAAAGACCAAACCTCCGACTGTACAGAAACCGCAAATGTCAGCGACAAGGGCGAAGAGCCATGGATGAAAGAGTGTCGTGACCACGACTACCTCTCAAATTCTCCTTGGAAGATCGGAATTGATCCTAGCAAGTGCGTCAAAGTGGTCGTAGAAAGAGACCCTTGGGTGGAAGGAAGTGAGAGACAGGTGGCTGCTCTTCCGAACCCGGTTTGGGCTTCAGGCACTTCGCCTGTGCATCTCGAGGTCGAGGCTGCTTGGGTTAATTGGCCTGTCCAGAATGGTACAGCAGCAGATCCCAGTGTAGTCGATACATCTTCGCATGGGGAGAGATTTGTGGCCCGCTTGGTCCCATACGGCACCGCAAAGCTACACATAGCACAATTCCCTGTACTCAGAACCGAGAAGACTTGACTGCACGTAAGGATTGGGGGTCCGCGCTAAAAATTCGAGATTGGATCACATTCGGCGCTGAACACGCCCGCGACTATTCTCTCAACTTGTTGGTGTACCTAAGTGAAGTGTTTAGTTTCTTTATTGACAGGATCTACCTTTCTTACTCTGATACCTGCTTTATACGAGGCGTGTTCCTGGCTGAGTTACTCACTATCTCTTCATGTCCTTTCTTTCTCATAGCTTTCATAAGACACAATTACAACGTAAGCCATTGATCAGATATTCTGCATCGAGCTGAATCTCAACTCTTGCTAGAAACTTAATCTAGATCAAATTAAATTTCGAGACGCATTTCTTCATTCTTTCTTCAACTTGGGAGTGAGTTACATGGATGGGACGGCCATTGATCATGTTACCAGAACCTTTTCATTCTTTCGCTCTCCTGGCCGACTGAAAGCTCAATTGTGATTGTCGTTCTCAACATAAACCCGCTGTCACTATAATAAGTTTGAATAGTATCGAAATCGGAGCAAGAACCCAGATCCTCCATACTCCGGTCCTTGTAGGTCGACTTCCCAGATCTCTAGACCCCAAGTAGGACGGCCAAGTCAGATTCGGCTGTGTTTTGTTGCCTGGTTCTTAGTCTCATGAGAAAGGTGGAAGTCAAACTTGGCTTTTCAAGCTCATGTCTGTGCTGGCAAGGGCGGAAGTGAGGTTGTCTTGGTAGTCTTTGCGGTTCCATTCGTCTGATAAGTACTATCAGGGTTGATCTTGATTTGCCCCGTAGCGATATCGAAACGATTGCTGGTTCTGTTGAATATCTGGAACGCAGCAGCTGGTTGGAAGTCTGCTCAGAATTAGCGTTTTGCAAATCGAGACTGATGGCTACTTCGCTTCGAGCCGCGAGACAAAATTACTTACAAGGTATCTCGTGTCCAGCATTCCAGACTCGGGTGAAGCTGAGTTTTCCGTATTGCCTAGTTTCTCCATAGGCTTCACCGTCCACAGTCAAGCTGGTGTAGCCTGCGTCGCGGAACTTCTCAGCCCCGGACCAGTTGGCCGTGAGTGAGAGCGCCTCGCCTCCCAACCAGTTACAGATGTAGTCAGCATCACCGTAGACCAACGACACCTGGACATCAAGTTCAAGAAGCTTCTCAACATCCGGAAGATATCCAACCGCAAAATCACCTGAAAGGGTGTACGCAGTGTAGATCAGATTACTTGACGTGTAGTTCAGATCAACGCCGAGCGCGTTTTGTGCTTGAGCGGTGTTCAGCCAGGGCTGGTCACTCAAGTCAGTTTTGATACCAATTGGTCTTGGATATTTAGATAACACGACTTACACGCCAGTTGTCAGGTGGGACATCTTTGCCAGATGGGAATCGCTGAGAAGGGTTAGCGCAAGAATTCCACAAGATGCAACGAAATTACTTACGATATCATAGGTTCCTCGGCCTTCCAGGTTGAAAGTGTAGTACATGCCCTCAACATCAGACTGGCAGATGAATTGCGCGGCAGAACAAGCCGACCGTCTAACGATCGAGTCTCGTTCAAGATAGTCACAGTAGTCAAGCTTCTCTTGGCAGCCGCCAGGACGATCTCGGTTCCACTTGCCGTATTCATATATCGTATCGTTGATGAGATCGACTCCATAGCCATTGTTTTCGCCTCGAGTGAAGTCAAGCAAGTATTTGGTCTGCACGTGCTCATCCACGATGCCGTTTACAATGCCGAGACTCTTCAAGTTGAGCTTGCGCCCGACCGGAGTGTTTTGCTCAAGCTCCGAGTTGCGCTCGTTGAACAGGGTGTAAAACGCCGGACCCCAATGCCCTCCGAATGACTCTGTCTCCGTGTAAGTCAAAGTCTTTTCCTTTTGTGTTGGCGACGAATGCTTACCAGCCCAGAGATGAAAATCAATTGAAGAGATGTTAGAAGAGCTCAGCTGCGGCAAAGCGTCATAAAACCCTTGCACCACTTCCCAACAAGTGATAGCAGCCAGACGACTAGTGTCTTCTTTGGTAGGGTCGATAACTGACCATCGGCCCTCGCGCTCGTCGGAGCTTCCTGGCTCCTTGTCTACCAGAAGGTATGTAGGGTCAAGAAATCCCACCTCTTTCTCGCTGTAGGAGAACCCTGTTCATATTAGATCGTGAACCTAAATCAAAACTTCACGTGGGCTTACCTGTTCCAACTGGTTGTGAGAGAAATAGGACATTCGATATCTCATTCCAAGCGTAGTCTCGAAGAACGGTGGTCATGTTCTCAACCACCTCGCATGGCCCAATCTCCTCAAAAAGACCGATCAAGGAATCAGAGCCAGGACCACCATTGAGCCAAAGCGTCACCTTTAAAGGAGATGGTCATTATCGTGCATGTGAACATCATCAGACACAGTGAATAACTCACCGGATCTTTTGCAGGGTCTCTACGCGACTCGAAGAACCAGAAGAAAACATGCACGTCCGGGGCGATATCGATGTACCCACTGTAAGAGTTGACTCCAGGGGTAGTCTCACAGATTCCATCTTTTCCGGGCTGTTTGTAGCGTATTTGTGAACCTCCTGGACTGGTGATGGTTGTCACGCCTTCTGCAGCACTCGGTGCTTGTCTCGGAGGCAACACACCTGCGATGGCGGGCACCACAACCGCAGCGATAAGAGAAACTAGGAAGTTTTGAAGCATCATGTTGCTACTAAGTCAAATGACTCGAAAGACTTTAGCAGTGACTACTTCTTCCTCATTTTAGACTTCCGTGATATTTAACGTCTTGCTCGGTACAGTGCAGGTCGATTAACTAGGAAGCTCGATAATGCAACACGCAGTGTCCGGGGACGGACCTCACACAACTTGGGCGTGGCCTCGTATTCCCTCTATCACGGCAGATTAGTAGTCTCGGCGTATCTTGACACCCCAGCCATCCCATTGCAACGCCAAAATCAAATAGCACTTCAGTGAGGCACTTGATGATCACAACGCCTGCCCGTCAAGACGTTATGTTGGGTGAGGTAGGTCGAGTTTACTTCCATTATGGGCGAAGCGGGGAAAGTTGACTTGGTTCGAACAGCAGATATCCGCACCAATCGGGCAGTGTGCCACCAGGATGCAAATTGGAGTGATTTCACGAACTCAAAGACTCCAGTGCAACTACATTGATTGAGGTGTTGATTGTCACTGAAGATCGTTGCTTTATCCTACGTTACTCCGGGCAGCTCTCCGATCACTGATGCTTATCTCTCGGATGGCCCGAACTTGCATGACACCCCTGTCGTGATCTCGAAATCGTCCGAAATTTACGGCCACTCTTGAGAAAACAAGTCAACAACCCAAGCCGACGTTTGACATCATCCTCTTGGGCGTCTTCAGTAAGATTGAAGGAGTTGTAGCCAGAGATAGGTTGCACTCGACAACGAATTCAATTGAAGGTCCCTTATCAATATTGATTCACTATGCTGCCTTCACCTAGGCACGCAGCAATGGCGAATGATTAGATCCGCTCCAATGAAGAAGTCAGGGCAATAGAGCTTAGAGGAATTAGTTCCAATCGCAGCTTCAAGTTGAGATTCATTGACTGCGGAGAATGAGCGATAGACAGCGCCCGGCGAGCGATCAGCATCGGAGACTCCTTACGTTCTCGTCAACTCTGGCTTGTTCCGTAAGCTTGGAAATGCCCCATGGTTTCAAAACTCGCGACTGTGTCTTTGTCCTTCATACCAAACCATCTGTGATCTCCATAAAGGCGCGACGGTTGTCAGTATGACAAGTCATCTCATCTTGATGGCCCTCAATCGTCAATTTAGCGGTGCTAGTAAATTTAGTTGTAGGCTTCCCTTATCAGAACACGTTAACAAACGAACAATGCTTCGGTGGTACCAATATCTGGAGTGTCGGCTTCTACAATATTTGGAACTCTCAAGAGACCTGCCTTGCCTCCTGAAGTGAATGACACGGCGGACGGAATACGCGGCATGGCTTAAAAACCACTGTCTGCATTGGATACGCTCAAAGTGGCTACCTAGCGGCCTCAGTATGAGCCATGTGACCTGCGGTATATCAGCAAAGCCACGCTTCACATGCCGTGTGATTCTTCTAGTCTGAAGTGATGGCCGGTTGCAGGTCACTGATGATGGTCAGGCGTAAATTGTGTCAGCTCTCGCTCAATGAAGGAACAGCTGCCAATCCAGACTGCGAGAGGGTGGAAGGCGGTGTCATCCACGAGGAAACTGCGGCGCCCGGAACAACGATGTCGTCTGCGGCGATTGGGCCAGGCGACAGGAAACTGCTCCTCGTCATGCAAAGATGTCATCTCCGGCACCAGGGGCCGATCCGGAAGCTGCCAGAGCGGCAAAGGGTCCGATGGACGGGATCTGTCTCAAATCAGAGATCTAGCTCGGGGTCATTCAGGCTTTCCCTCCTGTCCGTCTCCCTCGCGGCCCGCATGGCCCAGACACCCACATCATTACTCTGTTAGCTCCACTCTCCGGGGCCCACACACATCCGGCGTCACACGCCTCCCCGGCCACTACCGGAGCCCACGGCTCCTCACGCCACCCCAGATCATCCCTTCGTGATAGGGTCACTGCATTTCATCACCCCGGATCACCCCGACGCTAAACTTTCGTTGCACTTTCGATGTGGCTCACATACGCCCCCATCCACTTCTGTCTCAATTCCATTCGCTCTGACTACGCCTCACATCTGCTTGTAGGGTACTATTGTCTGTACAGGCCTCTGCTTCCGCTGGCGTTGTAATGCTGTTCGATGTGAGCTTTTGAAGACCTCTTTCTCCTCATAGCTGAAGCCTGTTCGCCGCCATTCCTTCGGAGTTCCTTCTCCTTCTTTGTTTTCTTCTAGGGGGCATTAGAACCCCTCCCTTCGCGTTGTCTAATACGTACTCGTATTCACCCTTTACTCCCGGCGATACCGCCGCAAGGAACCCAGTAACACTGGCAGTCGCGATTCAGACTTCGAACAGCCCGTCGATAGAAGCGTGGCTAAGCGACGTGAGTCCACCAAATGAA